GGGCACGGTGGCTTAGAGGAGATGCTGGTCGGCTTGCTCACGCTGGATTTCCACCACAGGTAGAAGCGGGCACAGGTTCCCTGTGGGCTGGGGGAGCGCCTCTCTAGCTGAGGCCTTCTCCCATCCCTCTGCCCGGTGCTCGTCTCCCTCCAGGTCCTGGGCCTTGGTGCTTCTGCGTGATTCCTCTTGATTTGTTGCCCCCGTGGTGCCCCTGCATGGAAACTGGGTCTGGTCACTTGTTCCCTCGTGTTCCGACGTGTGTGCTCTGTGCACCCCTGCCCCGACGGCGTGACGTGGGTGAGGGCCTTGCCTCGACTCCGGGCTGCCTCTCTCGTGGTTTCCTGTTCTGTTTGTCCTGTGCCACACCTGAGCTGGGATCAGCTGTGCAGCCTCACGAGGAATCGTGTGTGTTCCTTCACGTTCCCAGGCGCGTCGTCAGCCTATCAGGAAGTTGCAGTGAGGCACACGGGAGCTTGGAGAGGCAGCATTGGCCATGGGCCTGTTCTTGCTTTTCCCCTAGAGACACTGTCCAGTGTTGAGTGCACACGGAGTGGTGTTCTGCGTGCTCCATGTTTACGAATTCACTCCTCAGCACAGGGAGGAGCTGCGCCCTGAGGTGCAGAAGGCTTTGTCTTCCACAGCTCAGAAGTGATAATCAGGGGGTTGTTGGTTATTAGGTTCATGTGGTGAAATGATGGCTGTGTGCTTGCTCTGTTATCATACACATGCTTACAATATTAATGTAGTTTGAATCTAATGCATTTTTAAGCATTTAATTATTTGAAAGAGACTGTTATAGCAAGTTCTGGTAAGGACGTGGGGAAATTGCAAGCCTCATGTATGTGATGTGGGAACGTCAAGTAATGCAGCCACTTTGGAAAAGAGGTTGGCTGGCCCTTGAAACGCTAGCTGCGCATGGAGGCATGGCAGGCCCCAGCAGCCCCGCTCCTGCCTTACTCAAGTGAGGCCGTGTGTGCACACGCAAGCCTGTTGGCACATGTTGGTGACAGCGTCACTCCTAGTAGACAAGAAGTGGGAGGAACCCAGGGTCCCACGTCTGCAAGCATGCTTCACATGAAAGCAGACTGCCTTCTGCACATCCGAAAGTCCGAAATGTGTGAGTCAGTCTGCCAGGACTCTGACCTGGATGTCTCTCGTCACCGCCGTGACCAACTGCCATGGCCTTGTTGGAGCCTGGGGATGGGGAATCGAGGTGTTCCTGGCGGCTCTGGCCCGGGTCCTCACTGGGCTCCTGGCTGTCCTGTCCCCCTGGCCTGACAGCGGCCCTCATAGTGTCTGACTTCCCAATGACTCAGGATCATCCGGGATAATCCCTGCCCCTCTGTTCCAAGGGCGCAATCCCTTCTGCAAAAACCGTTTGTTTTCCAAGTAGGGCTCCCAGGTCCAGGAATTGGCAGCTGGTGGCCATTAGGTGGCCTTCCACGGTTGCCGTTCACTTAAAGCAAAAGGCAGGAGCTGGAGGCGTGGCCCAAGGCCAGTGACTGGTTTTGTTCTGTTTAAGGCCTGTGTTCCGCTTGCAGCCTCACCCATGTTTTCAACATAAAGGTTATGTTTCTCTTCTCCAGCTAGAACTCTGTACCTGTTCCTAATGTTTGTATCTGCTGAATTAACGCCTCCTTTCTGCATACTTGTTTATCTCAGACCAGCCAGAGCTCTGACACACCAGGCTCCAGCCAAGGGTGGGGTTCTTCTTAGCAACTTCCCAGAAATTGATCACAATGGAATGCTTCAGAAGATTAAAACAAACAAAACAAAACAAAACAAAACTGCAGTGTTCCTTATCTTCTGGAATTCCTTTTTTATATCTAAACCATATCACTCCTGCAACCATTGAAACTATTCTTCTCGCCAGCCTTTTTCAGCTCTACAGCTGATCCTTAAGTCGTTTGAACAAAAAATTCAATAAAGACACAAAGTTTGCGTTCCAGTCTTTGGCGGGTGATGTCTGTCGCTGCGTGCGTAGGCTGCCGGGGGAGGTTGGGGACCCAGTGCTGAGCCTGTTTGTGCCACTTGAGATCTGAGAAAGTGTTCCTCCTGGCTTGAGCCGGCCCATCCTGAGTGCTTACGGGGGGCCTTCTCCTTCAGAGTGACTCGGCATCCCAGCTTCCTGCTGACTGTGGCTTTCAGTGAGTTGCAGAATCCAAATACTTCATTTTTAAACCTTTATTTTTGTTCCTGTGTATGATCTGTCTCTTCTTGATGCAACAATTGCAGTTTTGGGAAAAACATCTTCCATTAGAGTTTTATGCCATATTTCTAGAGATAATATTCAGTGAATAAAAGAATAAATTAATCAGAGATGATTAATGCTGCGTTCAGAACACTGCCAGAGCTGGAATCTCTTTTCTGCTGCTCGTGAGAAGATTCTGATTTCCCTTGCCTTTATAAACATTCTGTGAGGCTCTGGTGCTGTAGCCTAGTGAGTTAAGTGTCTGCCTGAAAACCCATACTGCTCCATTTCCGACCCAGCTCCCTGCTTCATGCAGAGCGTGCCGGCCGGTGAGCCTGAGCAAACAGGGTGGCAGAGGTTCCTGGGCCGCTGAGCCCGGGCGAAGAAATGCCGGACCCCTGGACTCCTGCCTGCAGACCGGCCCTGGAGGGGTGAGCCAGTGAACTCTGCTCTATGTCTTGTTCTCTCTGTGACCCTGGCTTTTAAATAAAAATACAGCTTTTTTTTTTTTTCTTTTTTTTAGGTCTCTGAGAACCACTTTGCGTATTTGTGCATTTTGAAATCCGCAGATGTGTCGCACATATACGTATATTTCAGTCTGTAAGAGATACAGTGCACCAAATAAGGGCCCTGCACATGGTTAGAGACATGATCTGTGCTCGCCGTTCTTGAAGGCGGTCACGCTCAGGGGTTTCCAGCTAGTGGATCACTAGGGCAAAGGCCTTGATGTCACTGTCGTCCTCCACTTTGGCTCAAGCAGGACGAAGGGATGTGGCAGGTGAAGAGCTTGCGGGTCATCTGCAAATGTGCTAGAAACTCCACGCACCGGTCGGTCAGTAGAAGCCCTTCATTACTGCCAAGATGGAAAGCCCAGGTCCTCGTGTTTGTGGGTCCAGGGTGGTATGCGAGGCGCGGGGAATTGTAGATGTGGCTCTGTCCACCTGTGGACAGTGCATGCTGCAGAGTGGTGGACGTGGTAAAGCGTTTGCGTTGTTGGCTTGTATTTATAAGCTGCTGTTCCTGTCCTTGTTAGAAATTAAATAGATCTGTTCCTTTTGTTTGGGCTCCAAAGCAGCATTTCTCCACTCAGTGAGAATTAGAGCAAGTCCACGCAGGAACAAGCTGTGGAGTCCTGCCACTGTGGTGTGTGTGCCCTGCTGTCCACAGACAGTGGTCCTGGGTCAAAGTCATGTCAGGTTTGCAGGTGGCCTGCTTGCTTCCTAAACATAGGGATGGTGTATTGTATAATTAAGTTTAGCACTTAAAACTTTTTAGCATTTTCATTTTCTTTCCAAAGCAGAGAGAGAGAGATTCAGACAGACTTGAGTTTGAATCGGCTGGTTTACTTCTCCAATGCGTGCAACAGCCCAGGCTTAGCCAGGCTCACGGCGGGAAACAGCAGCTCAACCTGGCTCTGCAGAGTGGGTGACAGAAGTGACAACAAATGAGCCATGTGCTGATCACTGGGTGCATGTTGAATAGCTGGGCTCACAGCAGGTGCTGGGGATGTGGCTTCCCAAGGGGAGGCTTGCCTGTTGTGTTCCTTCCTGCCCCGGTGTGAGCCCTTTAGAAGGTCTCGGCAAAATCACCTTTATTCTGATGCTGTTAGCTTAAAAATTCCTACAAGTCAGGCCTTGTGCGTGGAGGATTTGCTTACAGACCACTCTACATATGCCCTGAAGTTGAAGAATGGCTGTTTTCTAGTTTCATGGTATTTTTTTTTTCTTGGTAAGGAGAGGCCAAGCTTAAGATAGTGTGTTAAGAGGTCCCCAGTTACTAAGTGTGGGTGTCAAAAAATGCTGACAGCCGTCAGGAGAAGTACATTTTCGCAGCTTCTAACTCTGTGGGAAGCTGTCTTACCACCTGAAAGGTTGCTAGTTTCGCATGACGTCATAGCAGGTGGGGTCATCAGCTGCTCCGCGACCTCAAGGAGGCGTGTTGGGCTGTGGTTTTCATTGTGACGGAGTTGACTAGTCAGGTGAGGGAGCTGGGACTCTCCTGTTGGGGGTCGGGGTCCCTTCAAGGATGCTGCTCCATTTTTACTATTTCCTCACCTGCTTTTAGACTTCAGTGTTTCTCAAAGCAGGTTAGGATGGAATTGGCTGGTTCTCAGCTTTGGTTACGCCATTGTGGTCCTCCCTTTTTATGTCCCTGGTCCAGGAATTTTAATTGAAATTTGAGGATGAGTGGTTACTAGAAAAATTCAGAATGTTCACACCTGATTTTACTTCTGTGTTTCTTGAGATAAATTTTCTAGCTCATACATTGCATTTTTCTGGAATTCCTTTTTCAAGAGTTTTTTTTCTCTTTTGTTTGTGTGTACATTTGCAAAGTAGAAACACATGGTCCCAATTTTTTACCTAGTGTTGCAGCTCAACATTATGTTACATAGAAAGCAGTCTGGGTTCCCCAGAGGATGGCAGGAACCCATGTGCAGAGCCATTGCCTGCTGCCTTGTGGGCTGCACATCATCTAGAGCCTGGAACTGGCAGTGGCATTGAGACTTGAGCATGGGTCCGACTGACCTGCTGGGAGGGGTATCCTAAGTGGTGTCTTAGCTGCTAAGTCAAATGCCCATCTTTCTCAAGATTTGGAATGTAGCGGGAAAGACCAGGATGTCTGGGAAAGAAAGCTCCACTTTGCTGTACTCACATAGTCCTGTGGTGCTCCGTGTACGTAATGATGGGCGGCCCTTAGCACTGCTGTATGCATATGCATATTTATGTGCGCATCTGTATACACTAGTTTGGAGTTCATGAAAAAGGTCTCTGCTTCATATCCGTCTCACATCTTTTCCCTTATCCAACAGGAGTCTTCTCGACAGAGACACATTTTCCAAATCAGATCCAAGTAAGTACGTATTCCTTGATTTTTAAAAACAGTTTCTTTACTGTTCTCGGTTGATTTTGCAAAAATTGTGTGAAACATGTAGTTCTTGTTGATTTGGAACTTGGAGAACAGGAAGGAGCCCAGTCCTGAGCCTTGTGCATGCCTCCAGCTGTGGTTCTCAGATGGGCGCTGCTTCGCCTCTGGAGGGGAACTTGTTGAATTCACTTCAAGCTAACCCTTGCTAGTATATGGTAGAGGCAATTGTTGAAATATAACCATAGGGGGCTCTAATTTTAAATAGTAATGATTTTGAGTTTTTACTTTTTGTTTTAAATTAAAGAGCAATATAAAGACATAAAATATTTGGTGAAATATGTATTGTTCCTATATACGCTGATGTTTTAGGTTTCTAATTAGAATATTGAAAATTATAGATAACTCCTCAGATGAAAAAGCACAAATTGGAACAGATGCAGGAGAATCAGCTGAGTGTGTGTGCGCGCGCAAATATGTGATTTTAAAGGTTTATTTACAGGAAGAGTGGTCCAAAGGGAGACAGAGAGAAGGGGGTCTCCAGTCTGCTGATTTGCTCCCCAGATGGCCAGGGCTGGGCCTGTGAAGCCTGGAGCCTGGAGTTCCATTCCAGCCCCCTGCATGGGTGACAGGACCCCATTATTTGGGCCATCTTCTACTGCTTTTGCAGGCACAGTAGCAGGGAGCTGGATCAGAAGCAAAACAGCAGGGGCTTGAACTAGGATGGTGCCACGAGAGGGGATGCTCGTGTCGCAATCGGCAGCTTAACGTGCTGTGCCATAAGGCCCGCCCCCAAACCTTACAATATTAGATACTCTTATTGCAGTTGCATGTGTATCTACACATGCAGGAAAAAACATGGTTTAAGAAGGGGCGAAATAAGTTTTTCAGGTGTTGGGATGACTAATGTAGCCATTGGGAGAAAGGCATTTTGTGTTGGGGGCGTTAACTATTTCTGGGACTCATTTGACAGTTTCCCCTTTTTGGGGGTGTCCTTTTTCAGTTGACACGATTTCTTAACTGTTTACAAGTATTTAGAGTGAGTGTTCTTGTAAATACTGAGAACCTGCAGTGTCTCGGGGGCACCATAAATAGCTTGGGAGGAGTTCTACATGTGCCTAATAACATACCAAATATTTCAAATGATTAAACTATGAATTTGAAGTTTATCTAATCTGTAGCATTATATAGATGGAGATAGCAAATTACAATATTTTGTATGCACTGAGTTCTCAGCATATTTTCTAAAGCTCCAATAGAGCTTTATTTCTGGTTTTTGCTTTTAAAGATTGATTTATTTATTTGAAAATTAAGGTTACAAAGAAGGTGAGACACAGAAAGAATGAGTGAGAAGGAGAGAGAGACGTGTTTTTCATGCACTAGTTCAATCTAGAAATGACAGTTATTAGGACTGGTTAATGTCGAAGTCAGGATTCTGGAACGCCTTTTGGACTTTCCCTTCGGGTACAGATGCTCAGTACCTTGACTGTCCTGTACTTTCCCAGGCACGCTGGTAGGGAGCTGGATTGGAAGCGCAGCACCAGGACACGAGCCAGCACCCATTAAGAATGCTGGCGTGGCAGGTGGCAGCTTCACACACTCCGCTGCTCTTTCGTGCTTGCTGACGGTTTCCTCACGAGGGTCAGCCTGGGAGTCAGATCTTTAATTCGGTTGTAGCCTCTGGGTGGTTGAAAATGTGCACGTTTAGATGTGATGTTTACAGAAGAATGGTAAATGTCTTTTTCTTCTTTTGTAGTTTGTGTCTTATATGTACAAGGAGTTGGAAATAAAGAATGGAGAGAGGTAAGATTAAAATATTTGTTTAAAAGATGACCATGCTGGAAGGTGAATGTCACAACTTTGTAAACATGACACTTTCGCGTCTCAGATATTGAGTTCCGTTATGTGACTGTTTGCTGTGGTTTTGTTTGTTTGTTTGTTTGTTTTTAGTGTGTTTTGAGTATTTAGCTCACTTCTGAGCTTTTTGCTGATTATTCTAGGCCAGAAATTTGGTGTTTTACTTAGCCAAGTGTAAGTTTACTGATTTCAGTCTATTTGATGTGACTTCTCATGTGCTTAAAATCACAGACCTGGTCTCACACTGCAGGTTTACTGTTGATTTCCAGAAAATGCTAACTTAGTGGAGGTTTTCGTGTGGCGCTTGCCGGGGACTATCACGCCTTATGCCAGTAGGCAGGATTCTTGGAAAATAAAGGACAAAGTTAGTTTCTTTCTCTCAATATACTTGCACAGCATTTAGTACTGCAAAAGTGAAGAGGCTGATTTTTAATTTTCCTAGCGTGTCTCTGTTCAGCTAGAGGCATGTTTGGGGGTGGGTGGCATAGCAAAGTGGGGGACTCCACTCCCACCAGCGGATCACCTCTGGAGAACAGCAGGGTTAACTGCCGCTTTGCTGGGCCCACTCAGGGCTCGGCGTGCGTGCTCAGGGGTGCGCCTGGTGGCTCCCACTGGCCCATACAAGGCTGCTGTTTCCATCCCTTGCAGCACTTAAGTGTTATTCCTAGCTTTGCCAATGACCCATTAATTCAAGGGCTTTTCATAATGTACAGTCATTAGATAGAATTGGCTGCTTATCTTCAATAAGTTCTTACAGTGTCAGATACGGTTTTTAAATTGCAAGTTTCTAACAGATTAATTTGAAATACCATTTCTATTTGTCTGAAGCACATATTTCAACACACTTTAAGCTCTTTACTCACTCTGCCTCCCCAATGTCTGAGAGCAGCTCATCTGTAAAAACAAAATCATCTGGCTGATTACATCACACCTTTCCAGAACACACCCGAACTCAGATCACCACAGGCAGCACTGTCCCTGGATAATATTGCTCCTGATTCAGTAGACTGACAGCACAGAGACACTAAAGTCTGGGCCAGCTCTCCAACAAGGGACGTCCCTGGGTGTACAGTGTTGCTCTGCCACTGTCCATTGATGTAGGTCTGTTATTTCCATTCATTTTACAGTACTGTTTCTTCATTTCTCTTTGGATCATGCAATCATATCAGCCTACTAGTATTATATTACTGTACATTTGCTTTGTCAGTGTCTACTTCATGTGGATAGAAGTGAATTGTATATGGTGCTGTGATGTTGCATGCATATGTAATTTTTGTAACTTCCTCTCAATTATTTTTTATCACTATATGATACCTTTATTTGCCTCTTCCAATAGTTTTTGTGATGGAAGCACAGCCTTCTTTGGCAGAGCAGGGCTTGAAGTTGGGGGTGGCCCTGCTTCTCTGGGTGGTCTCCCTATTACTACTCCTGGAGGAGGAGCAAGGATGGAGAAGCCCTCTTAGTTCAGAAGGATGTTACACTGACTCTAAGCTGTGTTTCACTCTGCCTGTTACTGTTATGGAACCTTTGCTGGCTTATATGTTCAACTTTGTTTGGTTTAAAAATACTTTAAATACAGTGACAGGTGGGAAGAATTATTATATTATCACTCTTATTGGTATTATCATGTTTTACTCCTTTGTATTCTCGGCTTGATGAGGCCCTAACCAATGTGGAGCTCGCCCTCCTTCTCAAAACAAGGCCACACAGGCCTGTTCTCCTGTCTGCTCTTTTCTCTCAATGTGTAATTCAAAAAAGTTGTAACTTTATGTCTTGCCTTCTGGTCCCTTCAAAGAAGTTGTGTTGATGCTACGCCCAGGTTCTGTGTTCTCGACTTGTTCTCAGGGAGGGAATTGGTTCTTTGCTGCTGACAAAAGCCAAACTTTGTTGTGATAACTTTTGGTGTATGTGTTTTTTTAATTGTAAAGTTTCTCGTTTGTTTTTTTTTTTTTAATTGAAAAGACAGACTTACAAAGAAAAAGATCTTCCATCTGTTGGTTCACTCCCCAAGTGGCCACAATGGCCAGAACTGAGCCAATCCAAATCCAGAAGCCAGGAGCTCTTCTGGGTTCTGCCACGTGGGTGTACAGTCCCATGGCTTTGATATGTCCTCTACTGCTTTCCCAAGCTACAAGCAGGGAGTTACATGGGAAGCGGAGCAGCCAGGACATGAACCAGCACCCATATGGGATCCTGGCAGATGCAAGGCAAGGATTTAGCTGTGAGGCTATCACACTGGGTACTTTTTAAAGATTTCAAGTTTTTATATTTGAAAGGCAGATTTTAGAGGCAAAGAAACAGAGAAGTCCTCCATCCACTGATTTACTCCCCAAATGCAGAGTTGAGCTGATGTAAAGCCATTCGTGCCTTCTTGGTATCCCACACAGATCATGGAGCCAAGGCCTTAGGCTATCCTCTGCTGCTTTTCTGGGCTGTAAGTAGGGAGCTGGAGAAGTAGAGAAGCTGGGACCTGAGCTGGCATCCATATGGGATGCTGGCTCTAACAGGTGGAGGGTTAGTGTACAGCACCACCGCACAGGCCCTGTAAATGTTAATTCTTAGCTTTGGAGTTTTTCTGTTTTACTGCAGGATTCTCAAGACACAAATGAACAAATCTCAGAGAAGTAAGCATTGAGTGTTAATGGCTCTCAGGAATGGCCTGGGGCATAAAGGTCATGTGTGTCACAGTATTTTCAAGAAGGGGAGAATTTATATTGAAACAACAACAAAAACCAAAAAGCAAAACAATTTTTTTGGAAAACAATTGTCAAGGATGGACAGAAACAGATATTCCATGTGAATGGAAGTGAGAAAGCAACCTTGTGTCCTAATTGCCCTGTTGGTACTGGCTGGGCTAGCAAGTAGGTAGGAGCTCGGAGCTCCATTCATGTGTCCCATGTGGACGGCAGGGCCACAGGTGCTTGCCCGGCGTCTGCTGCTTTCCTGGGTGAATGATCCGGAGGTGGGTCAGAAACAGCAGCTGGCACTTCAACTATACTCTGCACTGTAGGCTGAGCCTACAGCTGAACTACACTGCTGGTCTCAGAAAAACATCTTTAAATGGGGTTGGGTTTGGTGCAGTGGTTTCAGTATTTCTGTTTCATCTTGGGGAGGGGCTGGATTCAGATCCCAGCTCTGTTAGGGCAGCGGTCGATGGCTCAAGTACCCAGGCCCCATTAGCCTTATGGGAGACACTGAAGTACCAACTCCCGCATTCATTTCCTGCACCAGCCCCAGATCCAGTCCCGCTATGGCTAGTATTTGAGGATTAAACCAAAGGATGGAAGATCTCTCCATGGCCGTCTCTGACATGCTGCCTTTCAAATAAATAGATTTAAAGGCAGCAATGAAATTTCAGTCGTGAAAAAATGAAAAACTATTGCTTCAAGGGATTTCAGGATAATTGAGAAAACGTTTGTTCTATGTATATAAAATTCATTATTAGCTGCTTTTTACATTTCTTATCATTTCTTGAGAGACAGAGATAGGTCCCAGTGGCTGATTCAGTCTCCAGATCCCTGCAGAGCCTGGGCCGAAGCTGAAGGCAGGTGCAGGGCACTCCAGCCGTGTCTGCCGGGAGGGTGCGAGGTGCTTGAGCTGTACGGCTGCTTCCAGGGAGTGGATCAGCAGGAACCTGGAGCCTGCTGCAGCCTGAGCTGGAACTCCGCCCCACACACTGTGCTCTGAGATGGGTGCATCTTAGCGTTGAAACCACCCGTTCCTCTGCTCACTTTGTAGTAGCTGGCAGCTAGTAAAGTTTAATGAACATTTATTGGCACACAAAACTATTTATAAGTTTTCAGCAACTTCAAAATTGGTATGCATACTTATAATTGTTTTTAAGTTTGTTTTTGGGTGAATTTAAGTAATCATGTGGACACATTTGAGCACATTGAAATAATCTTGCTAAGCAAGTTTACCGAGAGTTTGTCTCTTAGATGGAGAAGTGAGACATTATATAGCTTCTGATACAGTTGGATCTGCGGTTGCTGTCGAAATCAGGAGTATTTCCATTCTTATATTTTTTTTAAGATTTGTTCTCAGATTGGAAAAGTAGGTTTTTATCCGACTAGCCTAGGCATTAAAAAATGGAGAGCTTTCAAAGACTCACTTGTGAATTGCTTTTTAAAAAAATAGTTGATTTAAAGTTATGATGAGCAATGTTTTAGGCTTGGGATTTTTTTTTCTTTAAGTTAATGAAAAAAGCTTTCATACTTGCTAAATTCGTGCTTTTGGAATTCTCAAATCATGCAAATCTGATACTGCATCATTACGTGTAAGTGCTGGCCTGTCTACATAATCGCTCGTATTCCTTGTGTCTGAAGTGATTCTAGGTACTTGGGAAGCTACAACTGTGGGTACTCAGATTAGGATAGCTTAGGTCAGTTTCAAGGCTCCCCAAGGTCTCTGGGTGGACTGCTACCATCTACAGATATTTAGAAATAGTGATTTTTGAAAGTTTTGAGTGTCTCTGATCTGCATAGAATGATATGCAAATGCATGCTTTGCAAAGAATTCAGACATTACTAATTTGGTACTATAAGACACTAGCTAAGATCTAAATTTTATTTCAGGTCAAAAGATTAATCGCTGGGTTGATAGCTAATATATTCCAGCCTCAGGGAAAGTGCTTGCATATTTCCCATGAGCTGAGCAAGTCAGAATGTACCTATGAACTTATTACCAGCTTTCACATTTCATAAAGTAATGAATTAATACCAGGAACAGGGGACACTGCTTCACAAGTTTCTTGTTTCTGATTTTCAGAGTAGACCTACTCCTTGCAGGAAATTAGGAAAACTCAGAAATGTATAGCAAGTTAAAAAATTGGAAAAGGTGATTGCTGTACTCTCATGTACTGTCTACTATTTTATTTGTGCGTAGTTAATTAAAAGTTGCATTAGACAACGTGTTGCCTTTGGTTCCCTCCCTCCAGGACAATATATTACTAATACTCCTTTGAGTTTTCAAACAGATGTTTGTCCTGTGCCTTCGTAGAGCTTTCTGTAAAAAATATTGGGGAATTTAATGAGGCTTATCTTGAGGATTTTCATCCTATTTTCTAATTTCTCTTTCTGAGTATGGGTGTCAGTTAGATAATACACAGGAGGGACCGAGTTTCTGTTTGGGAGTATTGCTTACTTCCTGTGTGGGGATGTTGGGAACTTTTATTAGAGATGTTGTTTGCTACTTGTTTAATTCTTATTTGAGGATATTGAGTCTCTCCTGTTTGGGGGTCTTGTGTACTGAAGTTGAAATAAGTGACCAGATGAGGTCTGATTTTAACCTTTCTTTCTCTCTGTTCACAGTTTGGAAGAACTGAAGTGATTGATAACACTTTAAATCCTGATTTTGTGAGGAAATTTATTCTGGACTATTTCTTTGAAGAGAGAGAGAATCTGCGTTTTGACCTGTAAGTTCTACTCTAAGTTGCTTTGAAAATTGGTTTTCTTAAAAGACGTATTGCTGAAGTCATTCTGAGTGCTCCAGTAGCCCTGGCTAGAGGATTTTATTGGCAAGAAATCCAAGCTTGGTCTCCAGCTTGGCGGTTGGTCCCTTGGCATCTGTGTGCTTTTGAGGGATGGGAAACGTAGCTGTTCTGGCAGCTGTTGCACGCTTCCTGGGTTGCTCTTGAACCCTGGAGGTTCTCAGGTGATGGTGGGCCGCCCCCCCCTGCGCCCCCCCTCCCTCCCCGGCCGTTTGATTTTCTCACTGCAGGGTGTGGATGTCGACCTAAATCTGACTGCCCAGGGTGGACCAGCCAGCATTTGCGGTGTTGCTAGTTTGCTTGTTACTGTGATATGGAATGAGACATAATGGAGCACTACAGTCAGACTCGCCTTCTGGAGAGTCTAGAGCCAGGAGGGTGGGTTCTGCAGGGCTGGGTGCCATGATTGAGCTGTGGTGATTGTCGGAGTCCCTGAGAGCAGTTGAAAGGGAATCCAGGGGCCGGTGTTGTAGCCTGGCCTGAAGCCGCCTGCTGTGATGTTGGCTCCTGCACGTTCTCCAGGTATGTGATGGACACATCCGGGATGACTTGTAACTGCTGTGCCACGGTGCTCAACCCATCTCATTCTGTTAATCATTAGAGACTTTGCCCTTCAAACTAGAGTCCTAGTTCAAAGCCCTTTGCGTCTTGTCCCCTCTGTTAGAGCTATTGCTTTGCTGCTTGTACGAGAGGGGAAGTGGAAGGCAGGGTGGTCAGACACTTTCCTCATACACTCACTAGTAAGGGATCGGGGGTCCACCCATCTCACCTACAAGACATTTCAGTGTCTGATTTGTACCTGGTGACAGTTCCAGGCCTCCCCTGGGAGCCTGCATCAGGAGACAGGGTTTTTTTTTGTTGTTTGTTTGTTTGTTTGTTTGTTTTGCACCTGCCTGTCTGCCTCCCTGTGGAATGGGTTAGAAAGGGACTTTTGTTCTGCATCCTGCAGCTGTTGAGAGAACACCGCCCAGTATTTGCCTTGTGCTTGGCCAGCAGCCCCGGGGTAAACGCACAGTCAGGGCTGTACAGACTGCTGCTGCTCACGATCCAGACCTCTAGACATACTACAGAGCAGTGGTCATCAAAACAGGCGGGCACTGGCACAGAAACAGATGAACAGTGGAACAGAATAGAAACACCAGAAGGGAGCCCACACATGTATAGTCCACTAATCTTTGACAAGAAAACTGAAAACATTCCAGGCAAAAATCCTGAACTGTTCAACAAATGCTGTTGGGACAACTGGATAGCAGCTTGCCGAATTAAGATGCAACTCCTTTTTAAGCTTGACTCACGCAGGTGTACACATCCTGAAGCACCTGTCAGAGTCAGCACCAGACTAGTCCTCGTATTTTTAGCAAAGTTAAAAGGAAAATTCCATTAAGGGAAAAATTATGGTAATTTTGAATGCTTTATAACCCAGCACATTATCTAAATAAGTCTTCAGAAGTAAAATGTGAATTACCTATTTTTGAGATAATAGTATTTAAAAAGCTTTTGTTAAATGAAGTGAAAAAGGATTATATTTGATGATATTTAATTTCTTTGTGATGAAAACATAAATTGTATTTTAAAATTCATTTTGACTGAGTATACTGTATTACTTCCTGTCAATTTGCAGTATCCTAGAAGACATTTTCCAACATAGACTGTTGTATTCTTGTTATCTTTTTCAGCAGAATTGCTACCAGGACAGGCTCTGTTGGAGAAGTGGGGAGAACTTAGATTTACTACGCCTGGCTTTAGTTGGTGGAAGGGGTGGGTACTCGCTCCTTGGTTCAGATCCCTGTGGCTTCAGTGACTTGCCTCAGTCCGATTGCGGGTCAGGACCCTGAGTGCCCCTTCCTGCTCATGGTGAGCCTGCAGGCAGCTGGTGGCTCATTGATTTTGTGCCAGCTCGGTGGCCCAGGATGAGTTCCTGGCTCCTGACTTGAGCCTCTTCCTGGCCATTGGAGGCATTGGGAGACAACTGTTGGATTGGAATTGTGTCTGTGCCTCTCAGGTAAACAGGCAAAAGTGTGTAAGCTCTATGGGAAGATGGAGTTGAAAGGTATTGGTACAGAGTTTATTGTGTTTTAAAAATGTAACTCCCACATGTAAAGGGGAAAATGCAGCATTTTTTTTCTGTGTCTAGCTGCTTTTGATGAACATTACAGCCTCAGTTGCATACATTTTGCTGCAAATGATAGAATTTCATCTGGATGATATCCCGCTGAGTTTCTGTGTGTTTCATCTGGATGATATCCCGCTGAGTTTCTGTGTGTTTTCTTGAACCTTTCGTGTGATGCTGGAGTGTTCTACGGTTCTGTCTAACGTGAGCAGTGCTGGTGTGAACATGGTGGCCGGTGTGTCCGGACTCACTGTATTTCAGTCTTTGGGGATTTACATTGGTGGGTGGCACTCCTGGGTCATTGGCAGGTGTTGTTTTAGTTTGTGAAGAAAGGTCCACACTGCTTTGCACAGTGGTTACACTGGTTTACCTTCTCACCAACGGTGTGCAAGGCTTCCCTTTACTGGTGTCTGCCAGCATCTGACGTGGGCAAGGCGATGTCCCTTTTCATCTGCGTTTTTCTGATGGCTAATGATGTTGAGCATTTTTTGTTTTCACATATTGGTTGGCTATTTGGTTTTCTTCCTTTGAGAATTCTCTTTTGAAGTCCTTTGCCCCTTAACTGAATTGGTGGGTGTTGTTGTTGTAGAGTATTATAAGTAGGTAATGCATTCTCAATCTTGATATTTTGTCAGACAGGTGCCTAGTAAGTGTTTTTTCCTTCCTGTCAGGTGTCTTGCTATTCTATTCATCATTTGCTCTGCTGAGCAGGAACTTCTGGTGTTCATGTCTTCCCATCTGTTCAGCTTTTGTTGCCTGCCAGAGTTTTAGAATGTTCTCCGTAGAGACCTTCTCACTTCCTTGGCCTTCACCAAGATCCTACCTGAGCACGTTTCAGCGAGGTTTGGGCAGGAACAGAAAGTTTCTCCACAGGTTGCGTGCCCACAGCTTGTCTGGGCTCCCATCTGGGGAGCTTCGGGGAGCACCAGGGCTTCTACGTGTCTCCTGTGGTAGAAGGCAGTTTGGCAGTGGCTGTGCTGCAGTGCTGCAGCTCAGGGCCTTTGGCGGTGGCTGTGCTGCAGTAGGGCAGCTCAGGGCCTTTGGCGGTGGCTGTGCTGCAGTGCTGCAGCTCAGGGCCTTTGGCGGTGGCTGTGCTGCAGTAGGGCAGCTCAGGGCCTTTGGCGGTGGCTGTGCTGCAGTAGGGCAGCTCAGGGCCTTTGGCGGTGGCTGTGCTGCAGTAGGGCAGCTCAGGGCCTTTGGCGATTCCTTGCTGGGAGCCCTGTAGCCTCCCAGACTCTGTTCATCATTTTAGGGTGCAGTACGAGCCAGCAAAGGCTGTGGTTTGCTCCTGTGGTTCTGGCTGCTTCTCTGTGGCCATTCTGGGGGTTGCCATGCCTTTCTACTTGTCTCTTCTCAACAGGGTGTCCCCAGGCCAGGAGGCTGGGGTGGAGCTGGAGTGTGCTTTGCTGTCATTCACTGCTGGCTTTAGAGTCCATGTGCCTTTTACAGTTCCCTCCACTTCTGTGCTCATTTGGGTACCAACCGCTGAAGACTTTAGTCAGCAATCTCCCGGAAAGGGTGTCCTTCTGAGTGCATCTGAATCACTGCTTTGGCACAGGGGAGGGGAGGGGAGGCCCTCCCTGAACAGGTGTCTTGAGTCTCATCTGCACTGTTTTCTAGAAGTCTGATTTTTTTCAAAAGATTTATTTTTGTGAAAAAGGAGAGAGGGGAGGGAGAAGGGAAGAGAGAGAGACAAGAGATTAATGGTTCTGTTGATCTGTTCATCAAAGGGCTACTGTGGCCAGGGCTACTGTGGCCAGCAGCTTGGCCAGCAGCTGGGCCAGGAGCTGAGCCAGAAACTGGGCCAGAAACTGGGCCAGATTTGGGCCAGGAGCTGGGCCAGGAGCTGGGCCAGGAGCTGGGCCAGGAGCTGGGCCAGGGCTGGGCCAAAGTTGAGCCAGAGTTGGGCCAGAGTTGGGCCAGAGTTGGGCCAGGGCTAGGCCTCCCACAAGCTTGGCAGGGACCTAAAGCATTGGCACCACCTTTTGCTGCTTTTCTCAGCCCTTTTTGCTGTTGCTCATTTTGACCCATCTATAAAATATTATCCTGGATGGGAAAGCATTCCATCTGTGCGGATCCCTGGATACAGGAGAACTTCAGAATTTGCTGATACCAGGCCAGGGCCACAGCTGTTGAAAGTGCTCAGGGTGCCCTGAGATGTAGCTTTTCTGAGGCAGGTGTTGGCTTCCTGCAGTGTTAAAGCCCTTTGGGGTACCATTCTTTAGGAGGAGTGTCAGACACTCAGTAAATTCTTACTGGCTGCATGTACTGATTGAGCTACTCTACTTCTTTGTGAAAGTATTCATTTTATGCAAGAGAGGACTTTGATTAACATGGAAATCAGAGGCAGTTAATTTTGGGTAGGAAGCTATGCACACGCACACAAATGTGAAAGGAATGTGGTTTGGGAGAAAGACAAGCCAGTGTAGCTCTTTCCTGTTCCAAAACTTGGCACATTGAAAGCACTCAGACTGTCAGCAGTCACTCCATTGTCAAGGGCCTGACCTTCTAATGAATGATGTTACCCTAGGCTCTAGGAGGAAACCTTGAGTTACACTACAGAATTGTTCTATCCACATATTCCTGTCCCTTTCCCTACCCTTGCTTAGGGAGAAGGGTGTCTCATTGCTTATGTCAGAATTGATGGTTGCCAGCAGCGCCTAAGTTATTATGTAAGAATTAAAACACAGAGAAAGAATAGCTTTGTATCAAGACATGTTTAATATTGTGTTATGTAATCCTAATAGGAACATGGAATTTAAGTTTTTTGAGATTTTTGGAATCGGTTACACAGTAAAGGGTTATTATTGATTCGTAGAAAAAAATTTTCAGCTTTGCAAATAGTAAAATTGCTTAACGTGAAACTATTAGAAATTGGGAGAATTATAGAAATGAAAGGACCCAGGGATTGTGAATTGTACCATTGCACATGGGCCACAGGTTAGCAAGAACTGCTGCCATCACTGAGTCTTTGTCACAGGGCCTTTGTTTCTCATTCACTGAACAACTGTTGTGTGTTGTTACGGTGTGTTCTAGATCTTGATGCAGTGCTCTGCCTGTGTTTTGTGGAAATAATTGGAGTGTGACGTTTCTATCTTGTAGGTATGATGTGGATTCCAAGAGCCCCAACTTATCCAAACATGTAAGTTTCTATTTTTATGATGATTCTAAAATTTATTACAATTTGAGGGATTTGTACTTACTGTTTATGCTGATTTATTAATGTTAAACTTATATATCCTTAGCTTTTCATGTAATGTGATTGTTGTAGAGCATAAATAGAATTCTGATGCAGTCTAGATGCTTTAGGAACGTACGAGCAGTTACTTGAAGTAAGGTAGATGGCCTTAACATGTCAGAATGGTGGCAGCTCCTGCTGTTAGGAAGGTAACAGAATCGGCAAACCTTTGGCTTCACCTCTGTGAGCCTGGGAAGGATCTGGCTACAGGCAGGAGCTTCGTTATTCTGTTTTCCTAGTAGTTCTTTCCCAGCCGTATTGCCTCACTGCTTCCTATACAGTTTCTCACAGTATAATGTGAGTGACACACAAGTAGGCCACTTACAGTTCTTTCTTTATGAGTCTCAATCACCCCTCCATTCCTCTTAAGATTTCTGTTCCTCCCCGAGTGGCAGCTGTTACTGGGCACTGGTAATCGGCCGTAAAGGAGCAATGGGGCTTCACAGTGAGCCAGAGGCAGCATGGGAAGGCAGAGGTGACGTGGTAAAGCGGGAGTAAGGCCTGTGTGTGCTGAGATGTGGGTTGGGATTAGATCCGTTGTGTGAATGCCAGAGCAGGGCTACAAGCATCAGTCCCAGGAGTTTCCCGTGGGCTCAGCACAGAGGGTGGAACCGGCCATTGTTGGGCTGGGCGGCAACTGGACAGGTGCCTGTGCCCGAGAGACGTTCTTCTTCCTCACGGTTGTCGTAAGTGACCACAATAGATATGCATATAAATTCTGGTATAATGAAAAGGAGTGGGGGATTAGGAGGCATGGTCACAAGCCCGGAGATGGGTTTGGGGAAGCAGGTGACCTGGGTATGGTGGTTGATGTACATTTAAACACGTGCCGGTTCTGTCACATTGCAGTTTAGGTAAGTCACAATTCTCATTCCACATGTTTTCTCTGAGCTGGCCAGTGGAGAATGGCCCATTGGTTGTGATGGTGTGATGAATGGGAACATTCCTGCACTGCAAGAGGCACTGTAGGGTTCATTTGGCTTCTGTGTGGGCTAGCATTGTGGAAAAGTTCCTGGATTGTTACTGGAAGTGCTGTTTTTACCAAATTATAATGACTCATTGACTGGAACACAACATCGGAGAAAGAAATGATAATCTTATTCATATAGTTGTTAGCTTCTATCTTTAGCTATGGACCACAATAACTCACAGTATCCATCAAGAGGTGCTCAGTGTGAGCCTCAGCACTTGGCTGCCTTTTGGGTTTCCCATCTTTGCATTCACTTCACTGTCCATTCTGCACAGTGGAGCAGAGTGGTCTCCCCGACGCCAGGGGCCGGGGTGGCTGGCTGTCCTGGAACTTCGTGTCTGTTCCCGAGGTTCCCCGTGCTCTTGGCGCCTTTCCAGCCATGCCTGTGCTCCTTGCTCCCTCCAGGCTCTTTTGCCTGTAACTCTGTTCCCTACGAAGAGAAGGCTTGACTCTGCGCTGCGCCCTCTCATCCCTCCCGGGCTTTGATGGTGCCGAAACGTGGGAGTGGTGCTGACGCGGCTCGATGGACCACATGGATTTTATTTCTGCGGCTCACTCAGGCTGTTTGGTTCATTCTCATTCTTCGGACTCACTAGCAATGGAAAGGCAAAGCAGAAAGCTTTGGACTCAGGCTGTGATCGTGGGCTTATATTGTGGCTGTGAGAAAGTTACATGTATTCTCCAGGCCTCAGGGTTTTGTTTGCTTGTTTGTTTGTTTTTAGTCTGCAAAGTAAGGCCAGTTCTTACAGGACTTATTCATGAGTTTTCTTTTTTTGTCTGTAACATTCTCTGTAACATCAGTGAACCAAGTGCAGTGCTTTCACACATAATAGATATCTTGTCTCTAGATTTACTCTTATTTGATAGAACTTTAATTTGCTCCTTAGAACATGCTCAGGGCCACTTGCCCACAGTCAGGGAAGATCTCCCACTGTTCCCTTAAGGAGGGGCATGGGCTCTGGTGGGTGGAGTCCCGCTGCCCTGCCCAACATCTCCTTGCTGTTTTCCTGTGGTTTCTGGTTGGTCCTGGACACATGAAGAAGTGTACTCACAGGTTTTCATGTCTTAGGTGCCGAGTTGGTCTAGCCTTGGTGTTTGGGTGTGTCCTAGATCTGCCCTTGACTGCTTATTTGAAACACAGAATCAGCCTCCCTCTAGCACTATTAATTTATATCTGAATTGAAATGCTGATGCCTACTTTTCATAAAAGTTGTTTTGAGTCTTAAAAACAAGAATTCTCTAGGCATATTTTTATGAGTGCTCAAATGTGATTTATGTAATCCAGTTTTAGGCACTTTCTGTAGGCTGTTAACTTAGGCAGTGACTCGCCAAACCTCCAGAAGAGCTCTTTGGGAGCCACCAGTATGTGGTAGAGAGGGACACTGTGGGGACTTAATGGACAGCCCAGGGTCACAGTGGTGGGCGGTGGTGCTGCAGTGGATACCTGGCACCTGGTGGAGGCTGTGATGTCACACCAGGCTCTCCAGGTCTCTGCCTTTGTGCACACTGATTCTGCGTCCTCGGCTCACAGAGAGGTCCAAGCGAAGCCACTTTGACATGAAAGCCCTCAGTATGTTTTTCATTTTCATTTTCATTTTTTTTTAAAATACAGGATGATAAATGCAGGGTCTAAAAATTCATAATAACAATCTTCCCTCGGATTAAAAGAACAGAAGGCTGTGCAGACTCACGCAAAATCATATGGCAAAATCAGTGTGGCTGAGCTTGTTGTGTCATCGATAATTTGGAAATCCAGGATTTCAGCAATGAGAATGATGTAATGTTCAAACTACGGTCTGTGACGATAGCCTGGAAACTGATCAGCTTTAATCCTTTTGTCTGTTTTAGGACTTTCTGGGACAAGTGTTTTGTACATTGGGGGAGATTGTTGGTTCACAGGGAAGCCGCCTGGAAAAACCAATAGTGTAAGTACTAAATTCAGATAATGAGATGTTTGCATTTCAGTTCATATTTTGGTAGCTTGGAATTCCTGAGTATGTGGTTGTAGACCAAAGGTGAGTTTGTTGTTGTTGTTGTTCTCCCTACAAGTAAGTGAGATATATTTGCTGTGTGTGTGTGTGTGTGTGAGAGAGAGCATGGGCGTGAGCGTGAGCGTGAAGATCAGCTATTGTATACCATGCAAAACCTGTCCACAAGATTGAGTAAGCAGGTTGATGCAAGACAGTGTGTTCTGGCTGTTGCTATTTTTCCAATTTAGTACTGTTTGTGAAACAGATTATACATCTTTGAGTCAGGGTCCATGTGTAGCATCGCCTTTTTGTAATACATTTAATACGTGCAGTTTTAGCGGTTGAGATTTTATCTGTTTTTTTTGCGATGGTTGTGGGCTGTGCGAAAGCAGTGAGTGTGTAAATGTGGAAAGAAGGGCAGTCACTGAGAACTGTGCTTCCAGCTGCGTCTTCAGTTACTGCGATCGTGTCTAAGCTGTCAGTTGCATGAAGTGACCCTACTTGCTCCAAATAAAGCGAAAAACAAACTCTACAACTTTCTGTAGGTGTTTCCTTTCTTCCCTGGCCTCTTCCTCCCCTGCTTCATGTTTGGGTTCACTTCCATGCCTTGGAACCTCAGAAGGTCTAGGAAGCGTTGCGGAGTAGTTGACCTAAGCTCAGTCACAAGGTTTGGAGGATTTGAAGTCTGTATCCTCCTTAGTCTTTGAAAAATCTTAAAAAAAAAAAAAAAAGGACCAAAGCTCCATAAATTTATTCATTTTTTACATTAAATACTTAAAAACACCCAGGCATCATTGCCACACTTTGTGTGTTAAATCGAGCTTTCTACTTGTTATATTTAGGATTATGAAAAAATGAATTAAGCTAACAGTAAGTCCATGAGTTCCAACTTCTTTTGACTTAGTTTAGTTAGAATTGAGAATTGAGAGTGTCAGATGGAAAAATTTTCCCATATCAACTGCCTTTTTTTTTTTTTTTTAAAAAAATGGCTTATTTATTTTTATTGGAAAGGCAGATATACAGAGAGGAGGAGAGACAGAGACGAAGCTCTTATGTCTGATGGTTCACTCCCCAAGTGGCCACAATGGCTGGAGCTGAGTTGATCCCAAGCCGGGAGCCAGGAGCTCTTCCAAGTCTCCCACACAGGTGCAGGTGCCAAGGCTTTGGGGCATCCTCGACTGCTTTCCCAGGCCGCAAGCAGGGAGCTTGATAGGAAGTGGGGCTGCTGGGATTAGAACCAGCGCCTGTATGGGATCCCAGTGTGTGCAAGCCGAGGACTTCAACGCTGTCGTGCCAGGCCCATCAACTGCTACCACAGAATCTTTAGATAGTCAAGGTCTGGCCAGGGCAAGTTCATAGCAGAGTGGGGTGCAAGGGCAGTGGGGATTATGAGAAAGAAGTAGATGGCTTACATCTCATTAGCTACTATTTCCCCAACGTGAATTGCTGTGTCACGTTGCCATGCATTCATACATTACTGTATTTCATACGTACTTTAAAAGGTGCATTTCTAACTGAGCTAGCTGCCAGAGAAAGACCTCTTGGCACTGCAGCATGGCCAGCATTGTCCTTAGCGCCCTGCTTTCTTGGGAAGACAGTCCCTCTTCCACTGAACTGTTCTGTTTCTTACAAGCTGTCATATCTCTCCATGACTTACTATTAGGCTCATTCAGGAAAAAAAGCATAGGGGAAGGGATGCCACCGGATCCATGGTTGAGTTCAGAAACTGAACAAACCCACAGAATGAGCTTCCCACGTCAGCGGGAGACTGGGTTGGCAGCGGAGTGCGGACATGTGCCCAGGAGCTCGCGGAGGGACGTGGGCCTCCTGTCGTGCTGTAGCCACTCCTCGCTCCACAGCTCTGTCCCTTGTTAGGCTTTAACCTTTGCTAAGGAGCTACGTTTTCCCTTTCTAGGTGAATATGAACTTGAATCACTATAAAGGATACCTTGTGAGCCAGATAACCCAGCAGAGTTACCAGAATCAATTCAAATTGAATTTTAAAAGTCTTTCTTTGTCCCCAGTGTGTTTATCTTAAGTAACATGATGCAAATGATTTAGTTCTTATTTACTAATTTGTTTTGAATCAGGGCTTTATTTTCCAATTAGTTGCTCATTTATGTTCCAAGTTATTCAAAGTAATCCCTTGTTTTCATCTCACTAAATGGGCTAAATTATTTTTAGAAAAGATGTTGAGGATAATTTCTCTTAGTTTTTTAATTGCAGTTTTGTTATTGCTCAAATAACCTTTTGAAATTCAGGATAAATATAAAATGTGGAGAGTTAAAGCAGAAAAGCAATTTTTAAAATTATTTGTTAATAATCAGGCCTATGACAACTAAGTTAGATTGATTACAATGGAAAACCAGCTTCTGGTATGTAGCCTCTTCCTTTTTGCATGATCGAAATTTGAATTAAATTCAAACCTTCTTACTTTTTGGCTGCAATTCTTACATTAGATTTTAGCTTCTGCATTATGAGAAATAAAAAATATATTTCAATGTTTTTGTAAGAAAGTAAAATGAGTTGAAACTAATATTTAAGAATTTTTAGTTTATATCTTACAGCGGCTTGAGATGCTGGCAGTTTGCTGTGTTGGATTTGAGCCTTTAGCAGACACTCCTGTGATGTCTTCATTCCATCCCGAAGCCTCCTGAGATGAGCTTTGTGCTGCTTAATTTGCAGGGTTTACCAAGGCTCCCTCTGACTCACTGGCTCCTGTCTGGCTCTTCCCAGGATCATTTAGCATTAGACCCACTCAGCATGAGTGTGTTTTTCAAGCTGTGAAATTGTATCCAGTTTACTGCATGGTGCTGTCTGAGAGGCTTCATTCCCTGTCTTCAGGGACCTCAGTGATGGATTCAGCAGAGCCTTCCACAAGTGCTAGCATCAGCATCACTTTAGGAGAGATTGCCATGCTGTCTTCCAGGAGGCAAACATCGTGTTCATCAAGTCGTAGACCTGTTTGTTCTTGGTTCGCTGTAGTCATGGCTGATTCTGTAGGAAAGGCAAGAAGGCAGGACCTAGTTCCAATTGGAAAGTATTTTGTTACTCTGGGGGAGGAGCAGGAACTTAGGGGTGACTGGACCAGCAGCTGGGGGCTAAAGGAAACTCGCGAGGAAAGGGCACATTTGTCTGTAGACTGGCAGCAGGAGTGTGTGATGGAGGCAGTCGCTGGTGGGTGAGGGGTCAAGGATGGGATCCAGGATGGATTCTAGAGTTTTCTGATAGTGGTGAAGATACAGCGATCTGGACTGCTAGGCAGAGGAGCAGCCTGGAGACCTGCCCGTCTGTTGGCATGGATCTCCCTGCCATGCCGGGAAATCAAGGACAAAGTTCATCCCATCTAGCCCTGCTGTCCACTCCTCACTGGTGCTGGCGGTGCCACCATCTGTCTAGCCATCCCTGCTCCTAGTCCTGATTTTCATGCTCACCAGTGGGAATGGCAACGCGAGAGGGAGGTGCCCACTATTTCTCTAATGGGTCTATTCGCACTCCTGGATCTTGCACTCTCCAGGTGGTTCTGCTGTTTTGCCTGACAGAATTAGCCCCCTGTGCCAGCATATGCCAGCTGATACTGTGGAAAAACCCAACCCACCCACACCCACTCTGGATTATGCATGCATAAGAAGGTATAGTCAGCCCAGCCTGGCTTTCCCCTGATCCAGCTCCCATGAGACCACAGGTGTTGTAGCCCTGCCCAGCCTGATCTGCCCCTATCCCAGCTCTCATGGTCACCAGCGGGAATAGTGGCCCAGTAGGGGGGCCCCCCACTGGATTTGCACCCCTACTCCCTGGTCTCACCTGTGCTGGCATGGCCTGCCTCACCTTGGCATTTGCCAGTGAGTGCTATAGCCTGGCTTGACCAGGCTTACCCCCAATTCCAGCTAACGCTGGTGGGGGCTACAGCCGTGTCTGGCTCTCAGATTTGCCTATGGGTGCTACGAACTGGCCCAGCCTGCCTTGCCCCTGACCTGAGCAAAACAGCACCTCCTCTGATGGCCAGGAGTGGGTGGGGTTTTAGTACACAGTGTCTCACATGAGTTGCAAGCCTTGCGTGCAGTGGCAGTTCAGTAAAGGCTCAGCGGAACCACTCTTTCAGTTTTGAGCCTCAGTTCATATTCTCGAAGCATCTCTGGTCATATATTTGCTTATTCTAAGCAAGCTGATTGTATAGAACTAAGAGTCCCATGATTCTCTGCTCAAAAATCCAGATGAGGGCCTAGAGAGGCGGAGCCCTGCTGGATGGAAGGCAAGTGGCTCTGAGGACCAGCCCTGGGAGATGGGGCGAAGTGAACACGCTTTCCGCACTTGGTGACGAGTGCTGGAATGACTGCTCTGCCTTCGGACTTGAGGGGACATTCCCCTTCCTGGATGAAGATAACAGTAACCCCTTGGACATCCTATTTAAGAGAAAAATACAGGACCAAATTACCACCGATTCATGTAAACCCTGAATGTAAATGGACTAAACTCATCAATCAAATGTCATAGATTAGTAGACTGGATCAAAAAAAAAACCAAAACCCATCTATTTGTTTCCTACAGAAGACATATCTCATCAACAAAGATAAGCAGAAACTGTATCTCATGGATTTTTGATTTTTTAAAATTAGTTTCATCTCTTCAAAACACCTTCTCATTCAGTTCTTCATTGACTCATAGATCATACAGTAGCATCATTTTAAGAAGGTTCTTGATTTTCATTTCTTCAGGGACACATTAGTCATTGAGTAGCATGTTACTTTGTGGCATTTTTAATTTCTTTTCTTCCTGTTTGTTTTGTTTTGTGGCTTTTCAAAACTATGTAATGGAGCATGTTATTTAACTTCATGGCATTGTAAATTTCTGTTTTTCTTCCTGTTGTTGAGTTTGTATTATGGATTTTCATATAAGGAGATGTATAGTAACTGTGTAAAGGAGACTATCATATCCAGATGTGAGGATACAGTACA